CATTTTAATCTGGACTACAACATGCCCTAGATGTTGTTTGAAAGTGTTTTGATTCTTTATTGTTCGGTCACATTTTACATTAGGGCTTCATTAGTTAACATTATTTAATTCATTAGTTAACATAAACTGCCAATGAAAAATTCTTCTGAACATTCATTAATCTTAGGCATTCCAATATTTAATAACACATTGTTAAAATCGAAAGTTGCAACTGTGTTATTTAATGAGCTAACATGAACTAAGACTTGTATTTTTTTTAAAACAAAGATTAATAACTTCTGTAGCAAATGTAGCTATTGCTCATTGTGAATGTTAATGCATTAACTAAGGTTAACTAATAAGGTCTTATTGTAAAGTGATACCTACGGGTCTTTATAGTTCTTTTGCACTTTAATCTGTGTAAAACTTTTAACTTTACACATTTTTCTGTATTGCTTTATTGCATTTAAATGTTCAGTTATTTTTGTTATAAGAAAAAAGTTATTAAACCTGTTATACTGTATTATGACAGCACTTTTTTTAAACTTAATTTCAATATCGTGATAATACCGTATACCGTGATAAAAGCATTAGCAATTAATCGCAACATGAAAATTTGATAACGGCATATCCCTAAGTATCATATATTCCTACATTGATACACCATCTTGAATTAGGCATCCTAAGGGCTAAGATACGTAAACTAAACCGAGGTAAAACCATGGCTGTGACAGATGCTATGCAATTCTAATTTGCATCTTTAAAGGTCTAAGAAAGTGTAAAAACACTTGCTTACCGGACTCTTTCTCTGTGTGAGGAAACAAACAGAAGAAAAGAGGAAATCATCTCAGTATTTTAATGTGAATATTACTATGGGACATCAGCTCTGTAAAGCATAACTGCGAGACTAACCAGAGGAGAAGGAGAGATCGCCAGCGTCCCCACTGAGGCCTTCAGCTCATCCACTGTGCAGTTTCCACTGTTTGCAGTCAACGGCTTGATCTTGATCTTGAATTTCTTCCCATGCTCCTCCTCTCCCTCTGACTCACTGGAGGATAAGAATGTCTTGACTTTTAGAGCTGGTGAGTCTTGTTAAAGAAGATTCATTTTAGAAGAAGGAGTCCCATCTCCATAGTTTTTAGTCTTTTTTAAACTAATTAAAGGTCAGAAAAGATGAGCAACAGTACAGGTCAATAAGCAAACATAGACTGGAAGGATATCTCCCCCTTGTTCTCCAGGCATAACGCTGTAACCCTCAGCATCCACATCAGGAGAGTTCTGTTATTAAACAGACAAACAGATGAGGCATTAGATTCACAGGAACTATAAAGACAGTATGAATAATCAGCATTCGGAGAGATTTACTTACATATCGATCCCAGTCGATCTCACCGTAGAAACCATTAGGTGCACCATTGGCTTTTTTCTGGGAATTAAACATGTGGGACGAGACATTGTAAGAAAAAAAAAACAATAATAATATTCTTCACTGTCATTAATTATGCTGTACTCACAGATTTGTCTTTGTCTGGGGATCCACTGAAAAATATGAAATCAAATGATCAGATTTTAGATATATGACTGAATGATAAGTATAGGTAACACTTTATTTCGATAGTCCACTTTAGACATTCTATTAACAGTAAGTAACTTTGCAACTACATGTCAACTAGCAGTTAGTAGAGTATTAGTAGACTGTCTGCTTAATATCTTCTAACACATTCTTTTATTCTACTAACCGTAACCCTAACCTAACAGTCTACTCTGAGAGTTAGTAGACATGTAGTTGCAAATTAATGAGAATTAATTGACATGTAGTTGACATGTAGCTACAAATTTACTTATAGTTAGTAGAATGTCTAAAGTGGACTATCGAAATAAAGTGTAACCCAAGTATAAACAATAAGTGTACACAATAAACTTCAAATTTACCAAATTAATGGGCATAAAGATAATATAATGTAATTATGACCCTACACAAAGTTTACTCTTCATGCTATCAGCTTCAGATGCCAACCCACACTCTACAATTTCATACACTTTGTACATAAAAATATTATTACAAACTGGCTGAAAATGATAATCGTCAGTATAACTGGCTAGCTGATATGTAACATCCAAAGTCAGGTATACGGTTTTTATATACAAAGTGTCTGCAAGGTAACAGGGCTGCTACAAACAATCACTGGATTTTCAAAATTGTGAGACATCCTGTATCAAATCTTTGTATGAGAAACTTAAAGGCCAATAAACTAGATATGCACAAGCAAAATTGTATATTATGCTTCCAGGTTTTTTTTTATTTTTTATTATCGTGATAAAAGCTGGACATATCATTTATGAAAGAAAAACAAATTCTGAAATTGGTGGCTCTTAACCACTAAGGGTCTTCAACAAACTATCCAGGGGGGCTTAAAATGACTTTATAATATGACAAAATAAGTATTACAATTAGCCGAAACCACTAAAAATGTACTACTATGAAATATTTCTCAAATTAATTCACCCCCTCAAATGTTTTTTTTTTCTTTTCTTTTTCTTTGAAAAACCTGGATTCACAATGTCTTGAAAAGCCTTGATATATGAGGAAGTCATTAAAAAAAATAAAATTTCTAGCCCTGGAAAAGTCATGTAAATTAATACACTTATTAGGTCAGAATTATAATGAATATACCTTTTTTTTCTAAAATATTTGATCATAGAAATTGTTTTAAACCTAAAAATGTTTCTTATCCAGTAAATCATGTAAAACTAGAAAAGTCATGGGGCCTTTATTGTTGATATTGTGGATATTGTTGTGAACAACAGGGGCCCTGGAGTCAAAAAGGTTAAGAACCACCGCGGTAAACAACATGAAAACACAACAAACAGTTGGTTGCTCTATTGTCTTTTCCTGTCTAAGTGGGTGGTTCTTGGTCAAAATAAGCTGCAAAGTGGGCCAGACTTTATGCTAATAGTAAAAGACTGGGCTCTTCTACTGCTGCACATTTGACTAAATGACACTGAGTCAAGTCTCAGCAATGCATCATTATAGAAAGCACAATTCACTCACATCACAATAAACTAGGCTGTGCCAAGGCAGCCATTTCTACACATGCACCAGTGAGCAAATCAGAAAATTCTATCGAGATCTGTATAGAGCTGATGTCCACGGTCACAACACGGCCTACTCACGTGGAGTCACTGTCCTTTTCTTTCTTCCGTATCCCGAAGGCCTTTCGGGTACGCTTTTTCAGTCCTGTTAAAAGTCATGGTTATCATCAGGAACAAAAATTTGCAAATAAATTCTTTAAAAATCCTACAATGTGATTTTCTGGATTTCTTTTTCTCATTTTGTCTCTCATAGTTGAGGTATACCTATGATGAAAATTACAGGCCTCTCTCATCTTTTTAAGTGGGAGAACTTGCACAATTGGTGGCTGACTAAATACTTTTTTTCCCCACTGTATATATACTGTATAAAGTCTGGGGTCAGTAAGATTTTTTTCTTTTTGAAAAAAAGTATCTTAATATTGTAAACTAATTTACATTTAAACATTTTGAGATTACTTTTTTTCTATTGTAATCTATTAAAAAATTTAATTTATCCCTGTGATGCAAAGTTGAATTTTCAGCATCATTACTCCAGTCTTTAGTGCCACATGATCCTCCAGAAACCATTCTAATATGCTGCATCAATAATGAAAACAGCTGTGCTACTTAATATTTTTTAATATTACTGACCCCAGTCTTTTAAATGGAATTGTATATGTTTACATTTTTTTCTATATTGCACTGTAGATAGTCCTGTAATTGAATTATGTTAATGTTGTGGGTTAATACATATAGCCTGAATCCAAGTCACTTTGGATAAGAGAATCTGCTAAATTCAGTACAAGTACAAAAGCAGAAATATTCCCTGTAGTTTCTGTAAATTTGAAGATAAACTACATATCACACGTCTGTCACTGAATGTTATCAACTACCCAAACACAAAGCAAAAAGTTAAACAGTAGAGAGTTAATTTCACTAACGTCTAAAAAACAAACGCAGAATTCAGTCACCACCAGGGGAGTGATATTTCACATACATATTTCAACATCTGCAACTAAAAAAAGCAAAAACACCACCCCCCCCCTCCATTCTAAGTGGGCTGAATTAAATTATGATTTTTTTTTTTATAAATATTTCCATCAAGGCAACATTACTCTATAAGTGTACTGGGATTCAACGAGCATGTTCATGCCATGCAATCGTTTACTGGTGGAAGGGTGTCAGCAGCAACAAATATGCAATATCTAATGCTTATTTTTCAATATTTTCTCTATTTACTGGTTTACTTGTGTGCAGAAACAAAAGCCCCTAATGACGACTGGCATCATGGTTGATATTAACAGATAAGGCACAAGAATTTATAGCCTGGAGTTCTTGGCATGACGGCAAACGGGACGGCTTGATGGGCTCAGTGCCAGTGTAAAAGCCTCTAGTTGTAGGTTCACCCATCATGCCTCTGGTCTAAAAGACCTCTAGGGAAAAGCTGACATTTCCTCCTCCGCTTGGCTAAATGTGAAGCAATTAAGTCGAGTTACTCCAAAACAAATATGAGGAGACGAAACTGCGTGCACTACTCACTTCTCACTGAATCCTAAAAACAGTTGTGTAAGATCGGATTCAAGGAATAGCTGACTATTTTTTTTTGTGACTATTTTCTTCAGTAGAACACAAAAGGAGAAATTTTGAGAAATGTACTGGCTGCTCTTTCCAATAACTGATTGCACAAAAGGACACAAACACATCATAACAGTAGTCCATACAACACATACACTACATTCTATGTGTTTTTGGTCGGTCCATTTGATAGCGTGGTTTGAGAAACCAATTGAAATGTAAACCTTCATTCACTCGAGATCTGGATCCATCCAATTTGTGGACAAACAGGCATTTCTATTCTAACCAGTATGATCCATTTTTACTTAAACTTGCTTATTTCGAGAAAAAAAAAAAGATTCAGACTGGTATCGAGAATGGTATCATCTAATTCATTAAAAAGATCTTCTTGGGGGCAAAGAAGTCACTTTTGCTCATCAAGTCTACATTTATTTGAATACAGTAAATACAGTAAAAACAGCAACATTATGAATTATTTTTTTTTTGTTGAAAATATTATAAAATGTAATTTATTCTTGTGATGCAAAGCTGAATTTTCAGCATCACTACTCCAGTCTTCAGTGTCACACGATTGTTCAGAAATCATTCTTATATGCAGATTTGATGCTCAAGAAACATTTATTATTATTATCAATGTAGAAAACGGATTCGTATTTTTGTGGAACTGTGATACATATTTTTTTCAGCATTCTGTGATGAATAGATCAGCAGTTATTTGAAATATATTTTTTTTATTTGAAAATTATTATTATTGTTATTTTACATTACTGACCCCAAACTTTTGAACGGTGACTTAGTCTATTCTTCAAAATGTCCTCAATTTCTCCAGGGAAAAAAACATAATATTAAAAATCACACAGGTTTGGAACTACACCGGGATGAATAAATGATGACAAAATGTTTTTTTGTGTGTGATCTATCCCTTTAAATTAGAGGACATAAATCATGGCATGAAGTGACCTACAAGATCATGAGGGTGGGACTGTGGACCACAGAGCAAAGGCACACAAGCATCCTGATGGCAGATTTATTTTGTGCACTGGACCACATAAAACCCTTATTTTACATGTGCCATCGTGATGTGTGTGTGTGTGTGTGTGTGTGTGTGTGTGCCCACTGGCCCTACAACGTGAGACACATAATCCTTCACCTCCTTCAAGGAGACAGACACCACAACAATCACGCGCTGCATTCGGATATCATGTACAGGGAATATTAGCGCGCTAATAAATAACATCAACAGACAAGCGATGAATTTAAGGGCCCAGAGTGGCATTTTTACCTTGCATCATGGCTGCAGCACTTCATTCCTCGGTTTCACGCGAGTAAACAAACTGACATGAGATACAGCAGTGATCCGGTAACCGGTCTCATGCTGCCCAGCCCCTCGCGTCCTCGTCTCTCGGGTTTCCCGGTAACCGGTGGGTTAGGCTCCAGGCACCGCCGCATCAGCAGCATCACAGAGGGGATGCTGAGGACAGCCGCTGATGAACGGAGAACGAGAGTGTGGGAGGGTCGCGTGATTACGAACCGTACTATGGCGGAGGCTTCGCTCATGAATATTAATAAGGCCGTGTCGACGTAGGTTGGTAACCTTCCTGGACCGTGCAGTCGGGTAACGAATTGATATCCATGAGCCAAGCCTTCGTTGGTTCGCAGATTCACTCGCGTTCTACGCCACTCCGTCAGGCCTGCGTCACGGTGCGTAATTAATATTCATGACCTGGGCAAAGCCGTAGTAGGGTTCGTACGTACATTCACAAGAGGGTTATAAGGGGCGAACGGACTCTGGTCTGATCCTGTGGACGATAGTCATGTGATAAGACGCCGCCTGCTGGTGGACTAAAGTCTGAGGCCACTAGTGAGCATTTTTGTAATTGAATAGATTTTATTTTCTACTTATATTTTTATTTTGACAGTTTGGATGCATTAATATTATTTCCTCCTTCACCTTATACTCAGTGCTTGTGGAAAAATACTGTACTTTGACGTCATTCATAATCTTTGAAATGTTTTGCTGAAGATGTTCTCGCCTTCAGGTCATCCAAGATGTAGATGAGCGTGTTTCTTCATTGGAACAGATTTGGAGAAATGTTGCATTGTGTTACTTGCGCTCAATAATGGATCCTCTGCAGTGAATGGGTGCCGTCAGAATAAGAGTCCAAAACAGCTGATAGTCCAGACCATCAATTAACATCTTTTGAAGTGAAAAGTTGTGTGGTTGTAAGAAACAAATCCATTATTAAAACATTTTAACCTTAATCACTTCTGGCCAAAATACCAGTCCATAATCCATAATAATAACACTTCCTCCAGTGAAACAGTCCTTGTTGTCCTTTTACATCAAAAGCCACCATTTTAACCTGAAGCACCGGAAACGTCTTAATAGTGATTTTGATTCTTACAAACACTCAGCTTTTCGCTTCACGAGAAATTCATTGATGGACTGGAATTGTGTGGATTATTGGGATGTTTTTTTATCAGCTGCTTGGACTCTCATTCTGACGGCACCCATTCACTGCAGTGGATCCACTGGTGAGCAATTGATGTAATGCTATACTTCTCCAAATCTGATCAGATGAAGAAAAAAACAAATCTAGCCTACATCTTGGATGGCCTGAGGGTGAGTATTTTCTGGGTGAACTATTCCTTTAATGTCTACGAATCTGTGATGTATTCCCCTTTTCTCCACAAACATTTGATGCTTGCCCTGATCACTTGAGCATATACACTTGAGCTAAAACACCCTAAAACTTGTGAGGTAATACTAAATTAATCTAAATTATAAATCTTTATATTTTATTGAATGAAAAGTTTTTAGCCCTTAAATGATTGTAGAGACTAATTTTGGTGCACATGATGCTGCAAATGGTCATGCATTACTGAAGCTCTTTTGCAACAGAGGTACCATATATAGCCACAAGGGGTCAGCAGCCAAAGCTGATTTTCAGATGATTAAAAAAAGACTGCAAAATAGGGCCAATGAAATCTTGAAATCTTGTCAACAACTACTGGAATCTCTCATCTGAGATGGCTGATTGAAAACAGGTAGGTCATTTCACAGAAATGTGACCAACAACACCAGAGTAGATTAGTTAACAGGAATAAACACATTTCAGAGTGCAGAGAAAATATAAGAATATGTGTAATTTATAGTGAACCATGTATTGTACACCCAGCCTTTTTAAAAATCACAAATAAATGGCATTGAAATTGTGCATCTCACAGAAAATGAACATACAATATGAATAAAATGACTACAGGTACATCAAAATTTTTTTGAATATCATGAAAAAGGTCAATATTTTTTGTCACTCATTTCAGAAAGTGAAACCCATATATTATATAGATTCATTACACATAGAGTGAAATATTTCAAGCCTTTATTTCTTGAAATTCTCATGATTATTTTGGGTTTTCATTATCTGTAAGCCATAATCATCAAAATTTCAAGAAATAAAGGCTTGAAATATTTCACATATGTGTAATGAATCTATATAATATATGGGTTTCACTTTCTGAAATGAGTGACATGATATTCAAATTTTTTTTAGATGTACCTGTATTGTTATGCATCAGTTCATGTTACTTGAAAAACTTTTATTTACTGGAAAAACTTTTATAAAAAAAACAAACAAAAAACAGGCATAGATATACAATCTGGTGGCAAATGCCTGAACTTATTCAAACTGCCTTCCTCTCTGTCAACAAACTCCTTGTTTTATTCTCCTTGAATGAATTCTCTGAAAGCATCATCAGATATGCAACTTGGCCCTCATCTTGAGTGCGTGATAAACGATCATACTATCAGGAAATTCTGCCTTTTCTGTGTAGGGAAAGTGATGAGACTTGTTTTCGCCTTGATCACTTCCTCCTCTGGAGCCGAGGGCCTTAAGAAAAGCCTCCAGTAGCCCACATGTATTGAGTTTCCACGTGCTGCACTCTGGAACAAAAAGCGCTTTGACGTCAAACACTGCAAACTTTTTGCGGCGCTCCCAAAAAAATTCCCATGCTTTCATGGATCCTGACATGGTGGCGAAGGAAAAAGTTGACCTAAGTGTCACGGGATTTTAAGTAATAAGTGACTGTACCCTAAATAGCTCGTCCCAAGTGTGTACTCTGATAACTGAGACCCCCTCCTCTTGCCTCTTTTTTGTATCAGATTCAATGATCTATGCTAAGCTACAGCTAAAAGTGCTACCGCCAGACCCGGAGATCGACTGAATGGATTCAAAGACTTCAAGTTCATCTGTAAATCACACAAAACTATCGTTTGACTTTATAAACTTTTATTTCATGAAACTGAATGCAAAGTGTGAATTCTAGGAGAATTCGTTGTAATTTTTCAATTAAATTCTTAGAAATATTAAACGTAATGATAACCATTCAACACTCAAAATATGAGAAAATAGAAAAACGAGTTACTGGATAAAATTGTTCAAAGATCAAAAACAACTTCTCTCAGGATGCTTTTTCAGATTAGACGTTGAATCCTTTGTTGCAGGTAGGCATTGCATTCGCGGTGAGATGTTATGTCCTTTTTCAGATTTACAAGTAAAATAGTCTTTGTATTTCCAGGAGAGAAATGCATTTCACGAAGGCTTGTGTCGTCCATTTTTGTGTCGTGATGATGAGCGTATGCACTCTCACAACGAGTTGCTAAATGAAAAGGCTGCTGCACGCAGTTTTATTTTTTTTTCAAAGGAGAATCAGTTGCCTTATTGGTTAAAATCCCCAAACTGTTTACTTAAATATTAAATTAAGAAATGACATTAAAATTCAAAGTAATCACTTTGGTAATCTAAAATACTTTTCGGATGTAACTGTAATTTGATTACCACCTATTTAAAATGTAATTATAACGAAATACAGTTACTCATATTTTGTATTTTAAATACGTAATGCCGTTACATGTATTTCGTTACTCTCCAGCCCTGATTATATGCTGTTGGCACGCTGTTACATAACACATTTTAGCATTTTTTTGTATTGTGTATTATGGTTTATAGTATGTGCACGACTGTTACTGTGACAAACAAAATCCTAGGTTGTCTGACCTTAAAAAGAAATACAGCAACAATTACAGACCAAAACGTTTTCATTTATTTCTCTTGTTTAATTATTATTTTTTTTGAACAAATAAGAAATGTGCAACACAACTTTAACAGAGGTTTAATACTAAAAATAATAATATAATAGTAATAAATATAATAATAATAATAGAGATTACAGTGATTCCACCAGTGAAATCACAATTGTTCTACAGTGTGCATATTCATCATCGGTTTCACAATGACCAACATGCGTAAAAAAGACAAAGTCTGCAGTTACAGCTTCATATCCTAACCATAAATTCGATTTGGGTGAGTTACACATGTCTGTGGCAAAGCTTCCGTGAATAATAGTCCTCCACTGATTAAAAAAATGCATTAACACAAAAGGTAAGCAAAAGCAAACCGTGTACATATTGTTAGAAAAGAAAGATAGGCTAATCTCAATCAGAATGACGCACGTTCACCACATCCCGTTCCTGACCAGTAAGAACGTACATCAGGAGGAACCGCATTGTTTGACATCAGCGATTTTGTAATTGAGGTTTATTGTTGACTTTGTTCTGTGAATATTAAAAGCTTAGATTCTAAGAAAAGAGAAATTAATAGGAATTTAAGAGTTTTTTTTAAGAGTACATTTTTTGAATGTTAAATCTCCTTTGTTGCTTTGACAAATTAATCTTAATGACATTTACAGACACAAAGAGGTCATTTTAAAATATATAGTATATAAAAAACAATGTTATAAATCGGTTTAATATCGCTATTGAGTGTTGGGATGTTTGTTTCCCATATTAAAGTGGTTAAAAGAAATAATCTGGGTTTAATAGTGCTTGATCGACAGCATCTGTGGGATAATGTCAGCTACCACAGAAAAAAAACAAAAACATTTTGACACATCCATCAGTTTTTTAAAAGCAAAAATCGCTTATAAAAGTAGCTCCTTGCTGTACTTATAATGGCTCTTACAATGGAAAAAAAGAAAGAGAAATTAATAGGAATTTAAGAGTTTTTTTTAAGAGTACATTTTTTGAATGTTAAATCTCCTTTGTTGCTTTGACAAATTAATCTTAATGACATTTACAGACACAAAGAGGTCATTTTAAAATATATAGTATATAAAAAACAATGTTATAAATCGGTTTAATATCGCTATTGAGTGTTGGGATGTTTGTTTCCCATATTAAAGTGGTTAAAAGAAATAATCTGGGTTTAATAGTGCTTGATCGACAGCATCTGTGGGATAATGTCAGCTACCACAGAAAAAAACCAAAAACATATTGACACATCCATCAGTTTTTTAAAAGCAAAAATCGCTTATAAAAGTAGCTCCTTGCTGTACTTATAATGGCTCTTACAATGAAAAAAAACAAAAAAAAAACAGATATTGTTTTCTGTGGCAATCAACATAAAAGTGCCACAAATACAGTCGAAATAGCTTAATTTATATTCACCCCAGAACATTCCTTTAAGAGTAACCACTAAAAATCTGGAGTCTTTGGATCTTGTTTTTAGTTAATAAGACATAAAACATCACATTAATTGTACCAGAAGAATCGCTTAATAACAACGCCTTTTAAAAGAGAAACTGTTCGTTACAAAATACAAAGGTTTTGTATTACTTGAATAAAGTATGCTGGCACTAGATTATTCTGAAGTCCAAAATTTAGGAAGACTGCATTCCCAATACACAACTGGGAATTACATGCTTTTGCTTTCAGCATGACAACATCTCTCATGTTTCCAAAAGAGTAGTTGGATGTGACACCAAAGAACACACAAGTACAAAAAAGTAGTCACTTTTTTACAAAAAAGTCACTTTGACGTTGTTGTACAAAGCCCTCTTATAAGAGGGTCAGCATTTCTCCTTCACAGAAACCCACTCCAACATTCGGATCAGACTGTAACGTCTTATTAAGAAAATCCAGCTTATGGCACTTTCGGTTCGGCCGTCCGTCCGTCCACTTCTGGTAATGTTCAGCTTGAATGGATTCCTGCAAATTCCAGCTAGATTGTGTAGGATGTTCTCTCACTCCCCATTTGGGCTCTGAAACAACAGCAGAGTCCCAAGACACAACGGTCCTCTGAGGGATTCTCAGGAAGCAGGAGAAAAACGTTCCTCCACTTTACTCTCTCATCAAATATGGCCAACATGACAGCCATTGTAGTGAGGTGCTACGTCTCGGTGGATGGAGGCGAATGCGTCACTATCTCTACACAGTCTGACTCTAAGAGGTTCTCTGTATCCTGCTTGGCTCCTTCCTCAACCTCCAACTCGAACTGAAACTTGTCTCCACCATCAGTTCCCGTTTCGAAGAAGGGAGGGGAGGGACTCTGCGGTATCATGCTGTGGTACCAGTTCCTGTTCTCCTCTAAAGTGTCCAAGATATCCTGCGCATCTGGATGCACCAGGTCCGCCCAGGTCTCCCATAGGGGATGCACGATGTAATCAATGAAACCAACCTAAAAGGAAAACAAAAAAAAACAAATGATAAATTCCTTCTAGAAACTGCTAGACTTGACCGATACCTTGTAAAAAAAGAAGTGTGGTTAATTGTATTTAAATGGGCACTTGTAGTTTACTACAAGTTTTAAGTATATTTTATTACAACTTTACATTTTTAAAAAGTATATATTTAAAAATCTGTACCTGCAGATAATATAATATTAAGGAAATAAAGGGCCACTTAAAGAGTACACATTCATGACTATGTTTCTTAGCACACTTAAGTACTATTTTAAAGACAAATTTACTTTGTAATAATGTAAAACTAAAAGTTTTACTTTAAAGTCCATTTTAAATAATTTTTTCATGCTTTAGAGAAGTACACTTATTTTGATGTTCTGACTAACACAGGAAAGCACATGTTAAGTTTTTGAATATAAATGTACTAAATTGCAACCTCATCATTACAAATGATATTTTTAAATACATGACATACAAGTTTAAACAGAAATGACATTACAGTGTATTTTAGTTGACCATAAATGCTTTTCAGTACATTCAACAGTATGCTTTAACCATTTTTCAAAGACAATATAATTATGAAACTGCACATAAAGATGCACTTTAGTTCTACTTAAGTGGGTCCAAAAACACTAAGTTTAGTTAATTGCATTTAGTGTAAATTTAAATTATAATCCATTTTAATTTACAAATACAGTGCAATTAAGTGTTCAAAAACATTACACTGATTTCACACTCAAGTATACTCTTTTAAAGTATATTATTTCCATAATAAGTACACTAAAGTATGCTAAAGTGTACTTCTTTTTCCACATGGAATGACTTGAATGTGAAGGATTCTTTGGATGCCCACCTGAGATTTCTCCACTGAAGCGGTGTGTTTGTCACACATCGGGCTGATCTCCATGCCTCGCTCTCTCTCTCGGTCACCCTGGTGGAAGAACTCTTCCATAATGCGGTCCGTCCATTGCCGGTACAGATCTAATGGCTTGGTGGGATTGCTGAGATCGGCACAGTGAACCATATTTCGTAAGACCTGTGGACATTGTGAGACAGGACGTTGAAGGATATTGACTTGTGGAACTAGTAGTGAAGAAACAAATGTTGTTGAGGACACACAGGCCAGGACTCACCTGTATCCTGTCCGTATAGTTGTCCAGTAGCAACACTCCTGAACTGGTCACCTTCTTAGTCTCGACCATTGTCTTCAAGTCAGCCAGTAAGCTCATGTGCTTGGACATGTCTGTTGCTAGTACCTATGGAAAGAAATGGAGACTTAGGGTCTTTCCAGACATGTAGATCGTTTGCTTAAATTGTTACAATGTTGCATTATCTTCACTTTCTTAAGGCAACATATCACAATGTGTCACATGTGAATATAAATGCCCTCTCATTGGTCAAAGTGCCACTCCAATTCACTTGTTTGCTGTCACCATTTGACACCCCTCAAACGCTGAAACGACTGATTATACAACACGCAGTGTTTCCGTGACTGTCCAAAACGTGTGAATATGAGTCACGCGATTAGTTGGGTCAATATCACCATAGAGTGCCTTTCAACCCTCATAATACTCAAAAATTTTGGTTTTAATTTCCCATTCGCTTTATGTCATATCATAAATAGTAGACACTCAAGTACATTAACATATTAGCTGAGCTCCCACACATTTTTTTAGATAGTTATGGGCCATTATTTGAAGCATAAAACATAAGATATGTCCACCCTGTCATGGACATATTATAGTTGTCCAGTAGCAACACTCCTGAACTGGTCACCTTCTTAGTCTCGACCATTGTCTTCAAGTCAGCCAGTAAGCTCATGTGCTTGGACATGTCTGTTGCTAGTACCTATGGAAAGAAATGGAGACTTAGGGTCTTTCCAGACATGTAGATCGTTTGCTTAAATTGTTACAATGTTGCATTATCTTCACTTTCTTAAGGCAACATATCACAATGTGTCACATGTGAATATAAATGCCCTCTCATTGGTCAAAGTGCCACTCCAATTCACTTGTTTGCTGTCACCATTTGACACCCCTCAAACGCTGAAACGACTGATTATACAACACGCAGTGTTTCCGTGACTGTCCAAAACGTGTGAATATGAGTCACGCGATTAGTTGGGTCAATATCACCATAGAGTGCCTTTCAACCCTCATAATACTCCAAAATTTTGGTTTTAATTTCCCATTCGCTTTATGTCATATCATAAATAGTAGACACTCAAGTACATTAACATATTAGCTGAGCTCCCACACATTTTTTTAGATAGTTATGGGCCATTATTTGAAGCATAAAACATAAGATATGTCCACCCTGTCATGGACATATATATTACTGTTAAATATGTTTTCATAGCAAAATTAAGATGCAAATTATATTTTCCGAAAGGTATGATGTCCCTTTCCTAAACAGGGTTATTAAAAAATGAATGCTATGTCCACCCTGTCATGTGTATGTCCACCCTATCGAGTCTAAGTGGCCGACAGGGTGGACATTTTGGAACGACAGGGTGGACATTTTGAGCTTCAATTAGCATATTAGCTTACAACAAACTGTTAGTTGCTAAATATTTAGTCTGGTTGTTGAAGAGGATTTGGTATATTTAAACGTATATATTTTGAAAATACTGTATGCGAATCACTTCTGGCATATTTTATGCCGACAGGGTGGACATGTTAAGCTTTTGCAAAGCAAACTCATACGAAGAAAATTTGTCAATTGAAAAGTCACCAAGAAATTTCACCTCAGCCGTTGAAATTCCCGCCACTGAAGAGTCAAAAAATCTGTTGTCCTGATGTCACTAAAGGGGATGGCCTTTTCTTAAAGGGGCGGATTCCCCAATACGACAGGGTGGACAACCATTCATGGGACATGGACAAACTCTTCTTTTTTATTAAATATAAATATAGTTTTTATTACCAAATGATCAATACACTCAAATTGAGTAATCTCTTATTTAACAAAATATTAATAGGAGAACAACATTTTTAAATTCTATGATTTAACAATATTCTACTATCATTCAAATTTAATGAGCAGTGCATGGGACATAGCAAAATAACACGCATCCTCTTACACAAAACAAAAAAAAATCTACAAAATGTATCTAAAGAGCCAAGTAATGTAATTTTTATGTTAAGTTATCATGGCAAATTAGTTATTTATGTACAGGACACCAAAAGGCCCCTTACAGTGATATTGACCCAGTTGTCTGTGCTACACAAGTTTTATACAAGTTTGGTACCGCAATGTGGGGTTAACATCACAAAAGCGCTGTTAATCCTGCTTCTCAGTGGGGTTTCATAACCCTGAGTGGCACTAAAACACGAGTTCAATACGTGACCATGGCCACGTTTTTATTACATTGTTACAGGCATGTATTGTGGTGTTTTATTACATTGTTACAGGCATGTATTGTGGTGTTTTTATTACATTGCTTCGCATATGTATTTCAGCGGTTTAGAATTCAAATATCTGGGGAGTGTTGCCAAATTGTTGGAAAATAACAAACGCCCTACACCAAACCCAACCCTAAACCCACCCGATAATGTTAACGAAAGCAAAAGTGATATAAAAACGCATTCACTGATGCAATTGTGGTATTTGAACTTGTATATACTCTGCTTTGAGCTGCTTTGTTAAACCGTAGTTTCATAGGATTTGTACTGGAGTGCATCAACTCTCAAGTGCAACGCGTGAGCTACCAAGCAAAACTACTGTGTTAGAAAACCCATACATATGAAGCTGTATATGTGCTGCTAATGTTCAAAAGTATCGTTTTTTAAAATGGTTTTTGCTATCATAACATAATATCGTGCAAAAAATTAGGGTTTCTTAAAACTTTGGCCCTGTAAATCATAATTTGTGTGAAAATGAATACAAGTTGTCTGAGTCTTACCGCCTCTAGTCTTCATTTCAACTGGAAACTGCAGCGATTTGTAAGTATAGGAATGTTTTTTGAGTTTGCAGAAATGTAGGTAGAGCCATGTATTTGCAATGAGTCTAGGTAGCATTTCTCACCACAAACAGTCTTGTCTAGAGTTCAGGTAATCTCAGACTGTTATTTTGGCGTGAAATCAAGCACAATTGCTACGTTGATCTATGCCTAAACGAACCACACTAAGTGAGAAAATGCTTCAGGTTTGGAAACAAACACTCCTACTCGACGAAATTTCAAATACGCATGATTTCGTGTGAGGGCGAAAAAGTTGCCCACACAGATTTTCCTCGTGTTCGAATTTTGACCAACAAAAAGCTGCTTGGCTTGAAAGTAACTTCTGTGAGAGTTGTTTGAACACTAAAAGCTTAAAGATGAAAACACCAACGAGCACAAATGCCTACCATATCAATGACCATCTTTCTCAGAGTCTGTCGCTGCTTCTTGGAGAGGTTTTGGAAGATATCACAGTTTTCCCCTTGCAAGAGCTTGAAACCAACCGCTAGGTGATGGTTCTCCAGAACAGACTCATCATTGTACATGAGTGCCAGCTCGGAGTCTGCAGTAAAGACAGGCATGATGTTTATGAGAGACATGAAACGTCTTTGTTCTTCCATATGGTTTGCGTTTCAATAACTACAGCAGTTTGGATCCATAAGCACGCATGGTCTTCTATATCTAGATAAAAACACACTCACTGGTATTAATTAGGAACTGGTTTGAGACTCCTGGGTGGTCCACATCATGGATGGCTGCTGCAAAGATAGCAGCCAGGATCTCCAGGTCTGTAAAGACCGCCTGTGGATAATAATAGAGAAAGACAGTGTTACACGACCCAGATCAAATTTCTGCAATGCACTGAACTGAGTAAAGCATGCTGCACACAACTCTGCAAGTTGAAACTGTTTCAGTTTTGACTCTGTTTGCCATTGACCTTTAATTGAACAAAATATTTTGCAGATAAAATACATCTTGTCTTTTCAAGTTTAATTTTTGCGTTAAAAGAGGACAAAGCAAAAAAGAGCTGCAGACAAAACACTTTAGAGATCAGAGGGGGCATGCATCAGGAAAATTAGAGACAAATCAGTGCAAAGGGTTCAGAAACAGCTATGACTGGCTGGAAATGTGGAATGAGGAGAAAATATTTTGTTTCCATTTTATTCTCTTATTTTGTTTTGTATTTCAACTATTTTATTCGATTATTTTGCTTAGACATTTATTTTTTTCTCTTATGCATTTTCATTATTATTCCCATTTATTTGTATTTTAATCTCTTATCATGTATTAAGCATTTTATTTCTTTTATTTCTATTTTCTTTTCTTTTAAGCATTTTAATTTTGAAAATTCTTTTAAAAAACATATTCCCTTATTTTATTATATGCTGTTTTAAAACATTTTTCATTTATATTTTATTCTCTTGTTTTGTTTTATGTATTTACATTTTTCATTTATATCTATTTTATTCTGTTGTTTTTATGCATTTACTTTTTTCGTTAATTTAAATTTTATTACCTAATTTTTATGCATTTTTAATTTTTTTATTTTAATCTCTTATTTCATGTTAAGCATTTCAATTTGAATTTTTACATTTATTTTCTTATTTAGTTATATGCAGTTTTAATTTTTTTTATTTGTATTTAATTTTTACATTTTGTTTTCATTATATGAGGGTGTTTATACAGTATTATTTCTCCAAGTTTTTTGATCCAGTGTGTTATTTCTGTTTTAATTTGGTTCTAATTTTGTTTTAATACCTCTGTACAGCATTTTGGGTGCAACTTCTGTTGTTTTGAAATGTGCTTTATAAATTAATAAACTAAACTTTACTAAACTATGTTTTTTTATAAAGCCCTGTGCTAAATAAATAAAGCCTTAAAGCTTTACTACATTATAACTACATTTCTAGGACATATATGAGTTTCTTACATCCAGTGCAGGTGTGGACAGCAGGATGTGTGTGGACTGGGCCACATCAGCCGCGTGTAGACTGTTGTGATAGGCCACGTCTGCGTGGTAGTGATCTTCAAGGGTCATCATGTACATCACAAAGGTATCCACTGGGATCTTAAATGTCTTTATTAAATCTCTCTCCTACAGAAGAAAGATGCTTTAGTTACATTTCATTTTTAAACACACATCTCTGGACTAGTGAGATGGGTTTTTTGTTTTGCGCACTAACCTGAAAGATGGCGTACATGATGCAGGTCAGCGGCCGGTGGTGAGAGTGCTCTGAAACTTTAAAGATGTTCAGACCCCATTTGTTGATGTCCTCCAGGTCCTACAAAAGGCAAGAGAGGATATACGTCCAATTACGGTACCAACTCGACAAAAGTGCACGATTTCCGTGCAACAGGTGGTCTGTAATGTATGACTATACCTTTGAGAGCAAGTCCTCCAAATCTGTTTTCACACCGAAGCGGGCCGTACTGCAGCTGCTGGACAGACCCGGGCCTTGTGTGACCTTCCTCACCCCGCTGATCTGAGTCATCAGCTGCTGCTGCCTCCTCTTTCTGTCCCGCGATTTTGGAGTGGGCGACGGGATCTCCAGTTCATTCTGTTTATCTACAGGGGGAAAGGTTTCGGCCCGTGATTGTTAATTTCAGCACTCGCACACTCAATTCACAACAGATACCATGACTTTACACACTCTCTGAGTAAATTCAAGTCAGCAAAATGAAGTTCGATATTAGTAAAAGCCACCTACAAGAACTTTTCTGCCAAGTTCAACAGTTTATGCTACAGCTAAATATTCCCTGATGTAAAGAAAGCTTAGATCAGAGTGATGGTCCAGGCTGGTTTAATGCTGGGACTATATATAGTCTCTCTGGAGAAGCTGGCTAACAAGTCTTACTAGTTATGCAAGTTAAGCAGTTTGATGGGAATGCAAATACGAAAACTAAATATACAATGAAACAAGATAAAATGACTAAATTAAATTAAATGAAAAAGATTAAACCTGTTTTGTTCAGTTTGTCTAAAAGCAAATTACGCTACCCCAAAGAAAAAAATTAAAAACAATTCTGTTGATAATGGCTAGCTTTGACTGCAGAAATTGTGCATTTTATAAATTTTTATTGTATTTTTTTGATAGTACATAACAGAAAATATAATGCATGTTTTGATAAAGATATCACAACAAACATCAAGTTCTTCTGAAGTTGCCTTTAGTTCTAGTAAATAAACTAAATTAAACATTGACTCACAAAATGTTTTTAGTTTTATCTTAAGTTAAAATTCTACGTTCATATTCTAGGTAATTTAGCTTTTGGTTATGGTGAAATAAAAGCATAAACGTATTATATTGACCTACATTAAGTAACATTATTATAGTAAAATATTTTACATAATTATGGTCTTTATGATAAATATAGGCTATTTTTATTTTTTACTTTGTATGAATGTTTTTGGAAAAATAAATATTTTTGATAAATACTAAATCAGAATTTAAGGTATAAACTAAACTATATATAAATACGGTGAAATTAAGTTACAAAAAGAAAAAAAAGTATTATATTAAGTAACATTTTGGCTCATGTCTAAAGAAAATATACAACTTCATTATGGCCTTTACAATAAACATTCTTTGTCTTATGGAAAACAAATAATTTGGACAAATATTACATCAAAATTAAATACAATTGAAGAAAAACTAATAAATTTGACTAACAAATTAGAGTTTTTTGTTTTTCCAAAGTATCATTTTTAAGTGTATGCTGGTGCCACCCCATCTCAGTTGTATGTAACGTTATATCTACTGAGGTTTTTTAAGAGAACCATCAGAGACAAAGTTGGTACTTTCCAATCCAAGTCTCCTGAGATGAAAGAGCGATCTCTTGATTTTTTTCTCCAGTGACGTCCCTCAGAACCACACTCTCTCAAACATCTCTTGTTTCTCAGTCAGGAGAGTTGAGCTCTCGCTAACACTGCATATTAAGAGTGTTTGTCTGAAAATCTCCCCGCTGCTGACTCTGTGAGTAAATGTGTAGGCTGTAGGGCTCTGAACGGCAGGGTTAGGAGAGTACAGTGACCCTGTGGCATCTGACGCAGACTACAGTTTCAGCCCTACTCTCTCTCTCTCACACACTCTCTCTCTCGCTGCGTAGACGCCAGACCAGATCAGACTGGTTTGAATAACAGAGGTGCAGGCGAACCACAGATGTTCAGCAATGATTGAACCCCCTCTTTCTAGATATCAGTGTTTTCATGGAGGAGCTCGACAACCTGTCTATCCACAACCTTTTATCATTATCACCATCTGAAGTATGGCTTTCACCAAATTTCTCAGTTTAGCTCACTAGTCTGAAACACTGTAGCAAACAATCAATAGATCTTGTCTGATATATAAGTTTTGTGGTTTTTAGTATGGCATATTGTTGTTGAAAGAAGTCTCTTATGCTCACCACGGATGCATTTCTTTAATCAAAAATTGTGAAATATTATTACAATTTAAAATAACTGCTTTCTATTTGAATATATTTAAAAATGTCATTTATTCCTTTGATGCGCAGCTGAATTTTCAGCATCGTTACTCCAGTTTTCAGTGGCGCATGATCCTTCAGAAATCATTCTAATATGCCGATTTGAGTCTCAAGAAACGTGTTGAAAACAGTTGTGCTGATTAATATTTTTGTGAAAACGGTACATTTTTTTCAGGATTCTGTGACGATGAAAATGTTCAGAAGAACAGCATTTATTTAAACAGAAATCTTTAATAACATTATGCATTTTATCTTAACTCTCTTGACTTGACTTTTAAACCAAAATCTATTGCATCCTTTCTGAATAAAAGTATTAATTGATTTACTTTAAACAACTTTTGAACAGCCCGTATTTGAAAGGATGACTCCAACTAAAAGGCATTTACAATAATTATGCATACTGCTTTTATGAGTTCAAAAATAACTGGGGTTTTAGGACATGGAATATATTACATTTTCTATTTAAAATATTAAAACATTATATTGTATTCGTATATGCAATAAAATGTATGTGATCTATTTCTTGAATTAAACACTCATTTACAAAGGAATTATCAGTCAGGTTTTCTTACAAGCGTTTGAATCATCTAATGAAGACGATGAAACGAGCGTTCAGACTCACCTAAGAATGTGTTGGAGATGAACTCAGACACCTGGTTTCCAGAGCGACTCATCTCAGACAGATGTGTCAGCTCCCGATTCAACATCCTCTTGAACTAAAACACACACAAAAGACAAGTCTTGTTAAATTCATACACACTATTGATATTTCTAAACTTCTCATTGCACGGATTGCCAGTTCTCACACTATGTTTTAACCAAGCACTGCAAGAATCTCGAGCAACATCCAAATTAAACGACCAATACATGGCAAACAATGAATAACTCTCTCACAAACACACACCTTAATGTAACCCCAGGACACAGAGAGCAAATAGTTGACTTCAGGCATGTTGGAGTCTTCAGTTGGTCGCCTAAACCCTGAACTCAAACTAAAGCCCAGCACTGACTCCAGCGGCTCCGCACCGTCTCTCCTCATCTCATCCCTCTGCATTCCCTTTCACATCCCAGCCAGGCTCGGATAAACAGCAACCGTCAGGAGAGATCCAGACAGAATTCCAGGAGATCTGCTGCATCTGTCATACGGTGTGTCTCCAACACTAAGTCTTGTTTCTCTCTCGGTCTCCCTTTCACCCTCCTCCTCCTCCTTCTTCTCTCTATCTATCTTTGTCTCTCTCTCTCTCTCTCCTGTTTTTACACTCCACATCCAGTGCTGCACCAAAGACGGACATATGTAAACACACAAAACCCTTTTTTACTTGCTGGACTAACAATTTCAATTTATATGCATGTTTTTATTTTCTTATATCCATACATGCTAGAAGCACCGTTAGTTATAGCTCTATCTATACCATATCTGAGCAAAAAAACAGCCAAACTAAAGAAACATGCAGTCAAAACACACACACACACACACACACACACACAAATAATACAATTAGCC